CATGGGCCAACCTTAGTGAAGATCGTTGCAGACTTTTCCCATATTACAAAAGCGCCGTCCCTGGGATTTGAACATGGAATCTTTCCATAACGTTTGGTGAGGGTGACAACTAGACCACTTCACTAAGTCGCCACACCTCCTTAAATAAATATATATATATATTAAATTTTAATATATGAAGTAAAATTAATAGAGAACAGACAAATTTTTTTAAATAAATTTTTTTTAAAATTATATTAAAATATTTAACAATTATCAAACCAAATTTAATAATTATTGAGATATTTTAATTTAAAATTTTAAAAAAATTTTACTAAAAACAATTTGCCTGTTTTCTATTAACTTTTCTATATATTTTAGTATTTAATAATCTTTAATTTAAAGGTTTAGTTTTTAATCTCAAGTAGTATGAAGTTAATCTTTTTAGTTAATAACTTATCCCAAGCAGTAAAATGTTGGTTAAAATAATTTTTTAAAAATGCTATTAAGTAAAGATTTTTTGTATTTTTAATTAAAGTTGTAAATCTAATTCTAATAGTATATTTGAAATATTTACTAAATTCTCTGTTAATTGATGTTGTAAAAACCTTTATTTTATTATGCAAGAAAATTATAATTTTTGCATTAAAGTTCTTCAAGATTTATTAAATATACTGCTAAAGATCTATATAGTCAAAAACATTCGGTTTATAAAATCTTAAAATATTGACAATTATTTGTTGACATGAACTGCTGATAGAATATATTATAGTTTACATCAAAATGTTCTTAGAAACTATAAGAAACAGTATGTAATTTAAATTCAAGCTTTAAATTATAAACCGAATTTTATATACTTTTTTTTTTTAAAAAAAAAAATTTATTTGTAGATTTCTGAGCAATACTATAGTTACCTTTTAATCTTTAATTAAAGAATTCTAGTTGCGAAAAACCAATTGTACTAATAAATTTTTAATCGAGTTCTGGTTATTTAATTTCAATTACTAATCTTCCAGATAGAGACTTTAATTGTATTTATTAAATTTTTTTTAAGGCCTAATTCAAAATATATAATATTTCTTTAAAAGTTATAAGAATGAGAGAGCACAATTAGTGTTACAAATAGGCAATATAAATCGCTGTATATATAAAAAGACAAAAGCTGTCATCTTAATAATCATGTTTGTAATATAAATATATGATTAAAATATATGTATAAATAGCTTTGCAATATATTGCTGTTTTAATTGAATTTAAATGCTTTTAATTTTAAAATTGAATAAGTGCTAGGTGAATTCTAAATTAACTTTAAGTTAGTTTAAAATTCTTTACCGATTGAAGTGGATTTAAAATCTCATCTCAACTTAATTATATTTGAATCAACTTAAGTTGGTTTTAAAATTTACAAAGATTCCATTCTGATATACAATGTTTTTATTAATATCAATTTAGTTTTATATAAAATATTTTGTCATCAATTTAGATTTAGTTTTGTATGAAATATATTTGTCTTGCAAGCCAATAATATTTTTAAAATGTCACTATGCTGGATTCATCACACAAATTTATCACTTAATTGTAAAATCTGAACTAATATTTTGCAAACCCTTAATTCCTGCAACATGTAAATAAAATTAAATATCATATTAATTATTAAGATAGTGTGCCTTCTACAGGTTCTTCTCTGTTTTCATAAGAAATATGAGTAGCAATAAAAATTCCTAACTCAAGGTGGTCTTATGTTTGAAATTTTCCAAAGAATTACTCCAAGGCTATATATTTGGAATTAACAAAGCATTGATAAATAATCCTATATTAAAAACTACAGTTTTGTTCTTTAAATAGTGTCTAAATTTTTTTACTTTTTATATATAATCCAAATGAGAAGGACCAATACTATTATTTTATGTTTTTACATCTTTTATTTAATATATAGGGCCTTCCACAGCAAAAGGAGGAGATGAGCCAAAAAATTAGATGTTTAATTTTATAATAATTCTATTCTAATCAATCTAATTCTTCCAGATATAAAATTTTTTAAAAAAATTTTTTGGCTCATCTCCTTCTTTTGCTGTGGGAGGCCCTATATGACAGAGATGGGTAATGACCTTATATAACCAATATGACCTGTATGACCTTTATGACTATTTGGTCATAATAAAAATTGGCATGACCTTATGACCTTTAATATGATAAATACTGTTTAAACAAAATTTATTAAATAGTATTATACTTATTAATTAGAATTAATACTATATTTAAAGCTTGCTAGCTTTTGCCTAGCATATATCTACTTAATAATTTTTTTTGATTTGTTAACTTTTTATGAATTTAAAAAAATTATGTAATAGAGGTAATTAGAAATGTTTTTGACTAATGATAATTATACAGACTAATATATATAAGAAGCTAAATAAAAGTTAAACAGCCCTTATTAAATACTTAGATCAATTAAACCAATAAATAATCGCTAAACTTAAAGACTAATAGTGCTCTTAATATGATTAGCTAGCTACTGAGATCGTGCATAATGTATTATGATTAATTAAAGCATCATTACTATAATTTTGCTAAAGATTCATATCACAAAATGCAGATAATAAATTTTAGCCAACCAGAACAAGCCTATAACAAAAAAAAGTAAGTTTAACCTTTTTTTTTATCAAGATAATGACCGGTTAAACTACTTTCCACAAATTAGAAATTGAGCTTTGATCTATTAATTTTGTGCTTGAGAGAATTTTAAATCAATATGAATAAAATTTAAACAAGAAATTAATTAATATATTGATTGATAATGTTCAATTGATTAAATAAAAAATATATCAGGTAAAAACCTAACATTACACAATGAAGAGTTTTGTAAACCAATTTCAGCCTATTAAAGATTTTAGATACTATATTGCCTTAAAATCATTATTACTGTAATAATATTTATGCAAGCTACTGCAGTACTGTATCGGTACAGTAATAAGTCATAGTTCAAGTCATGCTCTAGCCATGACACAAGTTGTGGCTTCAATAACTATGGCTTAATCTGAAGCTATAATTTAAAAAGCCTATTCAATTGCAGCTAAAACTGGCTTCATTAACGGTTCTGAAGAATATCTGAAGACAGTTGACAGTAATCTTTAGTTCAATTCTGAAGGATAATAATAAAAAAAGCATTGATCATCATTCACTTTAATTACATTTAATGCATTGTTCAATCAGTTACTAGATTTTGCGGATTCATATCAATAAAAATGCCATAGTAAACCATATTCTCTATTCCTGGTATGACATAGAGATATGAACCTTTTGTCAATCTAACAGTTTTTGGTCCGGGATTAGCAAATAGCACGCACTCTAATATTACACAAAAATTCTGGAATTTGATTGGATAAAACCATATGACCTAAAGTGACCTAAAATAATATGACCACCGGTCATATGACCATATGACCAGCGGTCATTCGATTACAGGCTTATCATAACCCATCCCTGCCATATGATGACATAATAATGCAAGTAGATAGGAAATCCGTCGTGAACTGTGTCTAATTAACTTAGTAAATTTAAAATTGTAAGCTCAAATTTCATAGAATAAAATCATGAGAACACCACTCCAAATTACCTAAATTCCGATGAACCTTGTTCTCAATAATGTATCCGATTTGTTCAGAAGTATATTACAATTTGGCCCTCAATTTATATAATCGCTATGGAACGTAATTATAATGAAGTAATCGATGCTTAGTTTCAGTGATTTTTTTGGTTGCGTTGATAGTAAGTCTTCCTTTATAGATATAAAAATTAAATCAATTTACAGTTTTTTTTTTTTAACCCCCTTATTGAGGGACGCCGGGAGGAATACTTTCAATTTACAGTTTTCATTGATTATTTCATATAATATAAAAGGATCTTGATAATAAAATACAAATTATTAAACACTCAACTAACTTTTTATCAAGATCATTTTCATCATTCGATATGATTGCAAGTTATTGCATGCTTCAGATAACGAAGATGCAAAGGGATTAGTCAAAATGATTCCTTAACAGTGTAAGGATTGGTATTGATTACTTCTTTCTATTCATAAGAGGTAAACATGGAATATGAGCATGGTCTAATATGATTATCTATGCAAACGCTCTAGAATATATGTGGTAAATTAGTGCATTTTAAATAAACATGCAATGAACCTATAAATATTTTAAATTATTGTGTATAAAAACTGCAGCAATAATATTGAACAGATTAATTTTAAATATTACAAAATTTTTCTGACCACATACTTGATATAAAACTTGATTAATCTACTATGATATTTAAAATCGTTTACATATTATCTATAAAGTACTTGCAATAATTTGTATTTTTCATTCCACGTTAGTTTTATTTTACCACTTAATATATTGTCGCACCTTTGTAAGTTAGCATCATTAAGGTGTTCAAAAATTTCGACAAAGGTCTCAGCGGGTAGTTTATTCATGTTTTTTTACGCGTGCATAAGTACGTGCATACGTACGTATTCTGATATATATCAAAAAATCACTGATTCATGAATTAGGTACCCTCATGTTGATTTTACTTTCCAGGTCAGAGTTTGACATTCATTAAATTTCTTGTATATTTTTAGGTTCGGGTAAATTGCATATCCATTAATTGTGCCAATGATCCACTAAGACAAATAATTTTCTTTAAAATATATATGAAATTAATAGAAATCAAAAATTCAATTTATTATGTACTTCATTACTCGACCGAGACTCCAGTCGTTTTCTTTAATCGACCTAGTTTGGCACTAATTGTTTTCATTACTTTCATCAGTCTCGCTCTCATTATTCTCATTATAATTTGGTATGCTTGGGAGAGAATTGGGCGCTGGATTCTCACGTGTCTATAACATTGCTTTTCACCTAACCAAAAAATTGTTAACCATTAAGTTTCAAAGTAATTGAAATAGTGCAGGTATTACCCACTCTCTTTGATTTCTCTTCATCACCTGAATCCACCTCCTCTTCTAATGATATTTCAGCATAGTTGTATCGATTTCTTTTTCTCAGCACTCTTTTGGTGGAAGTTTCTGTTTTATTTAATGGTCCTGTGATTAGTTCCATTCCATCCATGAACGTTGGCTGATGTAGATGAACTTTTTTTTTGGACGATCTTTTTCCCACTTTTTCGATCTGGTTGAGTATCCTGGTATGGAATATTTAAAAATTAGTAGTATTCTTTACTAAAACACCTCAGGGTCCCATCCATTTCGAATTCCACTAGAACAGTAGACAACCGAGTGGATCATCTGTGCTCAGTGGGTCAAATGCCGGCTCGGCAAGCGGCCTTGTAACATCAAACAACCGAGCGGGTCACCTGTGACCAGCATTGGTTTTGTGGCTCGGCGAGTGGCCTTGAATGACAGAAAACCGAGTGGGTATCTTTCCGTCACGCCACTATTTCTTTCACTCATCTTTTTTAATAAAAAGATTTACTTGCCTCTCTGTATATACTAAGAATCGAGTGTCTCAGCTCTCTTCTTCCTCTTGCCTTTAACACTGTCAACGATTGTATCAAGACATCCGAGGTACTGATCTATTTTTTGTCCGAATGGTCCCAGGTGGCATTCGTTTAGAAAATCTGATATTCCAATCGTCCGACTTGCATTTGAAGTATTCATACATTCCGTTTCTTGACATGATTATCGCAAAACTGTTGAAAAATGTGAAAGTTATAAATGTTGGAGTATTAATCAAATATCTAGCACTAGACTTTATGGTACATGACAGCGTGCATTTACGTTCTCCCAAACCGGTTGATGATCAGTGTTATAAAAATTTAAAAAATTTTATGACAAGGTGAAACCCCACTATATAAAAAACACCAACTAACGCGGATTTCACCCTAATTCTATGATCAAAGCGGGTTTTACTGGAATTCAGCGCGGGTTTCACCCTGACATAAATTAGTCACTCGATCACACAATATGGCACAAACAACTACGAATACACTATACGGGATGTCGTCTCGTTGATCACATGGTCTGCAGCACGTTCCGGTTATCCTTCCTTCGTTATTATTATTTTACCTCCCGCTCATGTTTTTTGATATCTAACCTTTTCGGCCAGGCTACCAAGCTTACCGGGCTGTCCACCTGGGCTATTTAAAACCCTAATATAATTAATTGAACTCTGTTACCCATCCCTCATCTAACTTTTCGGTATTTACGACAAAGCTAGACTTGCGTCGAGCTGGCAGCGAAGACAAAAGAGGGATAACAAATTTTCAAAATTTTCTTTATAGCCATTTTCAATGACCTCATATTTACCATTACTTATTAATCAGTTAATCAATCGATACTCAATCGTTCATCTATCGTCATGGTTCTGGGACGTGACCTCGTGACTTCATTCACGACATCTCACTTTTATTAGCGCAAACTTTAAAATCATGCGCGCAAAATAAAATATGCGTTTTATATATAAAACAAAATTGTAATACCTTTATAAGGTAAAGGGAGGTAATGTGGCGGAAGTGGTAAAGCGGCGGATCAACGAACCTAGGTGCCGCACAAAAAGTGCGCGGCAGATCCTCGATTTTAATTGGCTAAGAGCGACGACAAAAAATTAAATTACTCATAATTTTACTAATGAAATCGCAGCCGCCCATTAAGTGAAAATTGTACCTGGGCCAATTTTACTATAATTCGGACTTATTTTTTAAAAGTTTCTATTTTTGTAATAAAAAAATTAAAAGGTAATTCCGGCTGAAAATTAGTAAACAATTCTGTAATGCGGGCCAAAATTTCGGCTGTTAGCCAATCAAAATCGAGGATCTGCCGCGCAAATGAGAGTAATACTGCGGCCGATTGTCATAGTGCATATGTACTGCTTCGTTAATTTATGCCGCCACTTTACTCTTCTGATTATTAAAGTTATTTCACACTAATAAAAGCTGTACAAATGCAAGTCAATTTTATTTTATTTTTTTTAGAATTAAATAGACAACGATTATATTATATGGGGTGAGACAGTAGAAATGCACTATATTTTTTCGATGTAAATTTTTTTAAAACTTTAAACAAGAATAACTCAACCAAAACTTGATTAAATTTAATAAAAAATTTTTAAATTAATTTCTAAAAACTTGTAAATTAAATTTTTTTTTGTTAAATATAATTAAAATTTGCTAAAGGAAAAAACTAATTTGACACCTAGTGTATTAAACCAGCGGAAACTTATATTAGATGTTCCTGTCATGTGGACTAGGTAAAGTTCATATAAAAAATTTTCCAATATTACTGGCTAAAGTATAGATAAAGTTATTAGTAGAGGAGCGATAATCTTACTAAAAAAGGAAAAAATATGCGCAGTCATGTGATTTGCTTTCCTTTTACAGTAATGATTGTCACTTTTAGCCAATCAGCTTGTGAGTAAAAAAATGATAAAATTAGCCTCATTTTGCCGGGAACATCTAATATAAGTTTCCAAGGTCCTATTTAACCCAGGTGTTTGTGTAACATGTAAATTAAATAATTTTTATTAAAATAAACAATAAACAAAAATATTTTTAATTAATATTAATGTTAGTATTAGTGTTTAAAATAGAATAAATTATAGTCTATACCAAAATTTTGCAAGAAATTTTTTTTTTGAAAGCTTGAAAAGTAGTTTTATAAGCAAAATTTTAATATATTATTTATTTTTAGTTTTTTCTTTATTTTTGTTAATACACTCTGTGTCCAAATAGTAAGAATACTGACAGATATTACGTAATATCTTTGGGGAGAGTAGATTAGTAAAGTCTTATATACTACAATCTGGGTAATAAGCATTTTCATGTTATGTTAGAATTACATATCTAATACTATATTATATATATATTATCTTTATTGCAATATGTGATCTTTATATTCAATAATTCTTACTTTGTAATAATTATTTCATATGTAATTTATAAATAAATTTTTATGCTTACTAGCTAAATTAAATTGATGCGAATAATAATAGACTTAGGGTTGTATCGGTCTTGCAAAAGACCGGTCCCAGACCAGGACCGGTAGAGACTGAGAACCGTTGCAAGGACCGGTCTGGGACTGGTTCATGCAATGGACCTTATAATAAACTATCACATGTGCTTTATGTAAATTCTTTCCCTATATTTTATTCCTTTTATACTAATTATAATTAGCACCTGAACTTAAGAAAATATTAGATGATGAGAGATTTAAATTATCTTGGAATGATTATAATGAGTTCAAGTCTTTGAAATTAATATGAAGAATTATAGAAGTATTAGTTTCCTTTTCTTTTTGCCAAGGTTGTTTTCTTGCAATACTAATATATTTTTTTTTGAAATTAATACCTGTTAAGCTTGTTTGAGCGAAGTGTATACTACAAGCACTGTGGGGTTTATTCTATTTTATTAGTTTTTTCCTTTTTTATACTCTGGGTTTCTTACATTTTACTAAAGCTTTACCTTTTGAAGACCCAGGTATAGTATATAAGGAGTTTTTATAACAGTTTATAGGACCATTCTTTCTTACTAATTATAATTAGTACCAAGTGAAAGTTTTTAATTGGGGATAAATTTTATAAGTATTGGTTTCTTTTCTTTTTTGGCAAGTTTTTTTTTCTTGCAATACTAATCTTTTTTCAAATTAATATCTGCTAAGCTAGTTTAAGCAAAGTACTATAAGTACTATGAGGTTTATTCTATTTTATTGGTTTTTTATTTTTTGTATACCCTGGGTCTCTTATAATTTACCTTTATTCTTCATAGACCTGGATATAGTATAGTATATAGAGTCTTTACACAATTTATGGTTACTATTCTTTTTTTAATATTTTTTTCTTATAATACTAATAGTCTTTTTTATAATTCTGATTATTAAAATATCGGACAAGATTAAGACTTGAACTCAGAACTAGTACTGATAAGTACTAGCTAGTTCTTTTTCTTTATAGGGTTCTTTTTTTTAAGCTTTAATTTTACTGAAGTGCAATATTAACACTGAAAATCTAGATGGGTGGGAAACTACTATAAATAAGTATAGATTCTTTTTTTCATAAGCTTTTCAAATTTTTATTTTTGTTATTTCTTTTATTGTTTTTTTTTTGTAGAGTTTATATTTTGTATGATGCTAGCCATTTAAATATTTATCCATTATTTGTTTTATCTTGGCCATGCATTGTTTATTACTTGGTTTATCTGTTCATTATTAGTAACACAAGTGCTATTTTAAATTAGATATGACGTAGAGTAGCACTTTATGATACATTAGATAAACATGATGATTTGCAAAAGGGTACAATAATTGGAAGATAGGAATAGTTGTTCCAAGATGAAATTTGTATAAATGTAAAATGTATAAAAGACCTTACAATTCGATTTAATAATAAAAATTCAAATTGAAAAACTATATAATTTTTTATATTTATTTTTTTTTTTATTATTTTTATTTTTATCAGATCATCTCTGCTTATATTAATTAGCACCTAAATACAAATCTTTAACCGTGCTATAACTTTTTTAACATTATTCTTATTTATAAGATTCGCCTCTATATTATTAAATTATTATCCAAGCCATTTCTTTGATTTCATACTAAATTCCTAAAAATGAGTTTTGCTCAAGAAAGCAAATACAAAGATGTTAGTTAGGATCTCTCTGATATTGAAGATAAAACTAATGATGATTCTATATCACTTAATCAAAGTGAACAAGAATTGCAAGACATATCTTGTAAGCCAGGCTTATCTGATAACCACAAATCACCTGTGTGGCTGTACTTTAATAAAGAGATAGAGGGTAAACTTGGTATACCTATTTGTAAAATATGTAAAACAGAATTTTCAAAATCAAACACAACTTCAATGTTAGCACGTCATTTAACTATACACAACATAATAGTATTAAAAAAAGAAAAAAAGCCTTTAAATCTAAACCCCTATCTGAAAATTGATCAACAAGAGCGAACTGATTTAGTTGTGAGATGAATTATTTCTGATTTGTAGCCATTTCATGTTGTTGAAAGAGAAGAATGGTGGAACATGATTTCAAAATTTGACCCACAATACCAATTTCTTAGTAGAAATACAATAAAAAATTGGATAAAAGAAATGTTTCAAAATAAACAAGAAAAAGTTAAAGTGACATTGAATAAAATTCCAGGAAAGGTAGCATTTACTTCAGATATATAGACAGTATCAAATGGTACATCATTTCTAAGCATTATGCCAATCAATTTTGGAAATAGAAAAATTTTCTTTTTAACATTATTCCTGTAAAAAAACAGCATACAGAGGTTAATATTACCAATGTGCTAGTGAATACCTTAAAAGAATATTATATAGCTAAAAAAAGTCTGGCTTTAACTACCGATAGTGCATTATCAATGGTTTTAAGTAGTACACTTCTAAAAGAAAAGCTTTAAAAACTTAATAATAGTGAGTTTTCTCACTATCAATATGC